CCCCAAAACCCCAAAACCCCAAAACCCCAAAACCCCAACTCTTTATGCAATATTGAATATTAATTTTATTTTTCACAAAAATGCACTCAAGAAATTTGATTCAGAGCAGGATTAGGAGAACTAAGAGTACGCCTAGAGGTGGTATTAATAAGCCTCAGGTCAAGACCAAATTGTCTTATCACAAGCGTGATGAAGCTTTAATTTTAGAGAATCCTAAATTTCAAAAATTCGCTCTTGATAAATTTTAACCACGATAAAATCTCACAAAATTTGTTGATCCAGAAGTTGAAGATGCATGATCAAAAGTACAGAGATAGACAAAGTAAGAGTATAAAGACGATTCCTCATACTGCGAACTACAGTAGTTACCTCTACATGAAGAATTCAAGCCAGACCTTGCACCAGAAATATAACAGGATCAAGAAGAAAGAGCATTTGGTTGAAAAGTACTTTGTTCCTAAATCTGCTAAGAAGCCTACTGTTTCAATGTACCCTCAGAAGTTTGATACCAGCTCTGTTTCTAGATCAATAGAGGATGTTAAAGAAAATAGCAGAAGTGCCTCAAAATAAGAGGAATAATTTATCAACTAATCGAGGAAAGAGCAGCAACCGGTCAGGATCTCGCAGACGGAAGGGAAGCTTCAAGTTCCAGTCTAGCGCAATTGATATGAGCAGGGTGTCTAAATAAGGACGCACGGCTTTTACGTCAGGAAGGAGTTAACACTTTCGCTAAACTTTTCAAGAAAAAGGTTGAGCAATACGCTGAGAATCGATATAAGATAGAGAATTTTAAGATGCAATACAAAGAACTCTCAAAACTCATGTAATTTCGCCAAGTAATTATAGAATTAATGATGATGAGATCAAGATCCCTATAGATTCTATTTCCAAATAAACAAGCTGAAATATGCAGCGATATCATTGAAGACCTCTCCATAGTTGCCAATATAACTTTCTTCTCAGACGAAGCTAACCCCTCTGGTAAGAATTTCTCTGATAGAATTAGAGATTGCAGAATTTGATAAATATCTGGACACAAAGAGGATGAAAAAGGCTGTACATCCAAGACATAAGAGGAGCAAGAATACCAATGATCCTTTGGCTAGAAAGAAACCATTGTCTATGATGCCGAGCCATAACAAGACATTTGTTCCTGGCTTAGCTCCAAATTTTGTGAACAACAAACGACTGGTAAAATTCCAGATATGAGGAATTCATTTTGGGAAAGAATCTTGGAGGAATATTCTAAAATATGCTGGAGAAGCAGTCCATCTCCAAGTTATAGCGATTAATAAATGTGTCATAACTCAGCAAATACTTGAAGATCTAGAGAAAGCTCTCTTCAAGTGTGAGACATGCCATACTGTAGACTTAAGAGATAACAACCTGACTGATGAGTTTGGAGGTCTAATAGTTAGACTCATCCAGGCTCAGACTGAGAAAAGAGATGGACTTATATGGGCCTACGACCTCAGAAATGAATATCCCAGCCATTTAGATAAAGTGGGACTCAAGTCGATCATATTGAGGAGAAACAAACTTGGAAAGTTGTTCATGAAAAAGTTGGCAAAATGGGTTGTTAATGATGAATATTTGAGACATATTGATTTGTGATATAACAAGATTGGTCCAGAATCGTTAAAAACTTTCATATCTAAGCTCCAACATAATCATGGGCTGGTATCATTAGAATTTAGAGGTAATCATGGCTTCACTAAGGAGGTTCAGAGTATGACTGTCTCCCTTCTTTTAAAGAATATTGAGAACTGTAAAAAGAGCCGAGCCAAAATTAAACCTGAATGGATCAAGAAGGACGTTTTCGACATTGATATCCCTAAAAATATCCACCATAAAATAGAAAACCCAAACAAATTAAACAGCCATAGCATCAATATCAATACACCTCTTCTAACTAAATTCTAACTTCTCAAAATTTCAATATTCAACTCCCCAAAAGGGGTTTTGGGGTTTTGGGGTTTTGGGGTTTTGGGG